TGTTGAAGACTTTTTTTCTCGCTTCTGTCTACAAGAGGTTAGTTAAAGTATGCCAATATTTTCCTCCAAGATGCCCTACAATTTGTTGCTTTTTAAAAAGGTTTCACTCTTTTCCTGATAAATTTGTTTGTTGATGTTCTGATTCCCAAAGTGTTATGTAACAACTATTGTAACCTTGTGCAAAAATAACAGGATGATTTGCTTTGCATGCAGGTTATCACAGCTTCAGTCCTTGAGCATCTCTGTTTAAATGAAGGTTGGGGAGGACTTCTGCCTGAGACTGATAGGGCTATTTCTCCTCATCACACATAGTAAGAATCAACATGGTGTAGTAGTTTGAACACTGGGCTAGGAGTCTGGGAGACCAGGGTTTGAATCCCTACTCAGCCACAGAAACCTACTCGGAGACCTTGGGCAAGTCACATTCTCTCTTAGGAAGGCAATGGCAAGCCTCTAAATAAATCTTGCCAAGAAAAATAGCTATGATAGGGTTGCCATAAGTTGGAGTTGACTTTGGCATTACAATCAGATAACAAAGAGCAGAGTTAGATGGGTAACATGGCTTTGTATATCCAAACATTTGTATTTATTTATTGGATGGATTATATACATCCTACTTTTTTTAACTTAACAGCTTGAAAGCAACTCATAATATTAATTAACACCAATGAATACATTAAACATCTCAAAACAAAGGCAGCCTAACTGGAGCGGGATTAATTGTTTTTACCTGCCTGTTTCTCTAGTTTGTTCTTTTCCATGAATGTTAGATAGCCCTCTGACTGGGTTATTGTGATTTCAACAGCATAATTTTAAGTAGCTCTCATTTTCAATAATAAACACAAAAAGAAAATTGCCAGTTTGATGGCTGTCGTCTTTGAGATCACATCTTGAGGATTGTTTGATAGCTTCCACAAGTGGCAGCTGTTTTTAAGGGGGGGTAGTCATCATGGAAAGGCAGGTTATTATTAATTTTGCCTACTTGCAGGTACTCCCAAGGGGAGGGAATTTCTTTTCCCGCTTTAATTGCCATGGCTCACTGCTATAGAAATCCGGGAATTGTAGTTTGTAATTGTAGTTTGTTGTGGCATGAGAGCTTTCTGGCAGAGAAGGCTAAATGTTTTACAAAATCTCAATTCCCAGTGTCCCATAGCATTGGGCTATAAATATATGTAGTGCAATCCTACACAAAAGTTAAGCCCCATAAAATTCAATGAGGCTTACTCCCATATGAGTGAGCATAGGATTGACCCTATCAATTGTTTTATTTATATTTATTTATTTCAAGGATTTATATCCCGCCTTTCTCCCACAATAGAATTACATGAAATAAAGACCAGCCTCTATATGGGAGTTCCACTTTGGCACTACAATCAGATACAAGAATAGACACACTATGGACCTTATCACACGGGGTCTAAAGCAGTCCCATC